CTGGGCCTGCGCCTGGGCCCGAGCCTCGCTCTCGCCGCCGCCACCGCCGCCGACCCCGCGCGCCGGCCTCGCGCTGCGGCCGGTTTGACACACAGCGTTCCATTCGCGGGGCGGGCGGGGGGCGGGGGCGGGGGCAGGGGCGCGCGCCGCGGGCTGGGGGCGGGCGCTCGTTGCCCCGGCGACGGCCGCCCTTATAAGGGCATGGGTGGCCGCGCGCGGCGCCGGGCGATCGGGCCGGCGGGAGGGACGGGGGCCGAGCGCGGGGCCGCGGGGCCTGACCCTCCCCCGCCTACCCCTGCCCCTCCCCCCGCACCCCCGCCCTCGCCCTCGCCTGGCTCCAGCCTTAACCCCTGCCGGGCCGCGGCGAGAGCCTGAGCCGCGCCTGCCCTCTGCCCTTCTTGAGCCTCGCCAAGATGTCTCTCCAAGGCCCTCCCCCTCCACCTCTGGCCTTGGACGTTGGTTCGCTCGATCACCCTCGAGGCGCCCCTCGGAACCTCCCCCCGCCCCACGGTTCCCGGCAAAGCAGTGATGGGGGTCCAGTGGCACCCGGGGGGGCACGCCCCTGCGCAAGACACACGCGCGCGAGACACACACACACACACACACACACACACCCTAGATTGTTTGCTTCCTCTTCCAGAAAGTCGCGGCGTCTGACCCCCACCCCACCCTTTCTCTGCTTGGGTTAACACCTGGTGCCCGGAATCTCTAGAGGGAAGGGATGTTGTGGTCTGAGACCGGCTGGCCGGGGCCGCGAGGTCAGGGGGCCCCTCTCCAGAATTTCTGGCCTCCGGGGGCAGGGCACCCACCCGCCCCGCGGCTGGAGGCGACAGGCATGCCCACCACCCCTGCCGAGGGCCTGCCCCTTTTCCCTTTTAATTTCCTTTTCTTTCTGTGCTTTACAGAAAGGGCTTGGCCTGGCGGCCGGCTGGACTGCAGATGTCTCTTCCAGGCGCCCTGGAGCCTCGCAGCTGCCGCCGCCTCCAACTCACCCCATCCCCCAGAACCGGGGCTGGGGCCCGACCAGCATTTATTAGGCACCCTTTGTATGCGATGCCTGGGCTCGTGAGCTGGGGAAGCCTGGGCCTCTGGCTCTGGGCGGGTTAACCTTTAACCGGCTGGAAAAGCCCTTCCAGGAGTGACCTTTCACCTCGGAGTCCTGCAGCCCCAGCCACCCAGAATGTGATCCCACCCTGCCCTGAACCGAGAGCTGGACACCAGAGCTTGTGGCTCGGCCTCTCAGAGCTCCGGCCAGGACGGCGCCCTCTGTACACCTCCTCCTCTGCCTCCCACTCCTCTCATGAGACTTGAAGGATTGCCCTCCCTGGAATAGGGGGAAAGATGCTTAGAGATCTTGCAACACTTAAAAAGAAACTAAGGTTCTGGGAGGGCCAGGCACACCCAGCCCTTGGCCTCTCAACCTCCTTCAGGGACGCTCTGGCTGCCTGCGAGGTGGAGGTGGTGTTAGTAAATACAGAAAGCAGGAAGGACTACGATTAGACATGAGCAAGGACTTCCCGTGGGTCTAGAGTCAGGTTCTGCCACAGCCTGATGTAATCCCTGCTGGGAGAGAGGAAGGTGTGGGTGGGCAGAGAAGACCCTTTGGTTCTGAAGCTGCATGGCAATGTGACTGGTTATGTGGAGTGAGGACAAGATCCTAGGTCCCTTGCCTGGACCTGCTAGGATCTTTGGTGGGGGCACTGGGGTGGGGGTCTCAGAGAAGGGATTGAAAAGAGGGATT